CAGAGTCAAATCCATGACGCAGCGATTTATTTGCTGCCATTATTCTGGACATACTTTCGTCATATGATAACAAGTTGAAACAAACACCAAATGAAATTTGATAATGTCTCCTTTGCGAAAATTCAAACTTATTGCCGCGACTCAAACTCATCAAAGTTAGCGGCAGAGCGTCAATACTTTTTTTTTTCGATGAGTTCTTGAATCCTTCTATGTTTTTTGGGGAGGGGCGGTTCTTGGGGTTTGGATTCAGTAAATAATTATTATTTTATTGTATCATGTGAAACGTTTCTCCTATGGCCATAACTTTTTCAAACTTTATTTATAATTTTTTACATAAAATCTACTGGTACTGGAAAAAATATAATCTATTTTTTCCAGTACCAGTAAATTTTATGTGGAAAATAAGGATTGAAAAAGCCATAGGCGAAACGTTTTATATGATACAATAAAAAAAATTATTTACTAAATCCAAAACCCAAGAACTTCCCTCCCCAAAAAAATTCCGAGAATATTTCTAAGGGGTGGCGCAGGTAGGTTTTTCAGATCTACCATCAATTGGTATTGGTTGGCATCCCTTATCTCGTTATCAAATCGCGAAATTGAGAGCAAATTACCGCACCGACAAGTGCAATTTTTCAATCATTTTGTTCAGGATAGGCCCCATTCTAAATCTAATCTAATCTAATCCAACAGATGAAGGTCGACAATTGCAGCCAGCTCTAGGACTATAACATCTATGCACTATTTTTTTTGATACATTGTTTTAGACTACTTCAAAGCTACACCAATCCGAAAAATTCGAGATGTGTGATGAAGATTCATTTTGTGTTCACACGTTTTCCAAAAACTGGACACAGAAAAGTATAGCAAGCTATGGCACAGTTTCAAAAATATAATTATGAGTTTCAAAAACAGGGCCTCAAAATCATAGTTGTACCATATTTCCGTTTGGAGCTGAATTATTCAATCATGTTCTTACATCAACTATCAGAATATTTATGATTGTCATGAGCTAATTTATTATATTCTAAGCGTTGGTTGATCAAACAGGAATGTTGAAATTCTGAGAAGTATCACTTCAACATATTCGTGTAAATAATGTCCCCATTATTTTTTTGCGTTTTTCTCTAGGCCGTATATACTCTTTGGCGAGAAAAAAATCACAGTGTACACTCGAATAAAGAATAATGAAAACATAAAGTATAAACGAATTTTTTAATGAATGAACATCAAAAGTAGAAATAATAAAATTAAATGCAAAGAGTACAATAATAATAAGACTAAGAAATAAACCTGAGAAGCATAAAATAAGGAAAGCATAATTTTAAACTAAGAGAATGAAATTACAAATTCATGAATTTCAGCGACACTTGTGCGTGTAACTACAAAAAATACTAAAGATAAAAAAATATATCTTTCAACAAATAATACACATAGATATTATGTAGATATTGACTTCGAATTTGGCAAACATTCTGCGCGTCTTCTCAAATAAGTTATGTGAGGAAAATTCAAACCCAAATCGAGTTGACATGATGACATTGAATTTCGTCGACAAATCTTTTCGAATTTTCACTTCACATCACCTCAACTCATAAAAGTTTTCAACAACAATCGAGGGAGGGAGAGAGAAAGAGAGACAAAGGTAGAGAAGTACAGATCACGCGTTCATATTCAGTATTTGCAAGTATGATAAATGATTGTCAAGTGTATAGTATTACAGATTAAGAGAAACACCAACATTTTTGTACCTCAATTGTTATAACTTTCTAATGTCACAAAAACCGAAAAGAAAAAAATCAGTTGAGGTACACACAGCATCTATGTTGGGCGATTTGAGTATCACATGATTTTTTTCTATCAAATCGTCGCGAATATGATTTCATTTTCAACTTTTTCAATTGTTCATATTCTTCACATTTTTAGTTGAAAATCAACATGACAGTGCATGGGAACGGTTGAAAACTTTTCACCTGATTTTTTTCAAATTCACAGGGTGGTAACATGATAATGTTTAATTCGAAAATGACCTTTTTCCATATTCAGGAGCGAATTTCAAATGAAATCAATTCAAAGCAGGTTCACATTTCTCAATCAACACTCACGAAGATATCTTTATGAATTCGTATTGATATTCCTTAACGATACAGAATAAGTAAAGCATATACAGGGTGGCCCTTTGAAAACTAAACAGAGGCTCTGTAGGTCGCCAAAAGAAGATTAGGAAAAAAATCTGAAACACGTCTACTACATTTTCGAGGGTCACATCGTTCTGAATTATTTTCAGCTCTGCGGCGTTGCCGCTTCTAACGAAAAGTAGCAACAACTTTGTAATTTCGAATGGAACACCCTGTATTTCATTGCATTTTTAGATTCTCTCCAAAGAGCTGATTTCATCAATGCATCACACTTGATATGTAGCGGCAATGATTACAGAGCTATAGGGTGTTCAAAACCGAGATTTTTCAACTTACATTTTTTGCCTCGAAACTATTCATTATTGGTCAAGACGGCTTTTATATCTCTATCTCAACTTTAGATTTACTATCTACTGACATTTAGTTGGAATAGATACAGGGTGATCAGAATTCTTAATCTTAAACCAACCTGTATTTGTTCTAATTTAATGTCAGTAGATGGTGAATCGAAATTCGAGATAGGGTCATGTGAGCCGCTTTGATCAATGATGAATAGTTTCGACACAAAAAAGTGCTAAAGTTAAAAAATCTCGAGTTTGAACACCCTATAGCACTGTAATCATTGCCGCTAGATCTCATGTGTGATGCATTGATGAAATCAGCTCGTCGGGGAGAATCTCAAAATGCAATGAAATACAGGTTGTTCCGTTTGAAAAAACAAAGTTGTTGCTACTTTTCGTTAGAAGCGACAACGCCGCAGAGCTGAAAGTAATTTAGAACGATGTCCCCCTGGAAAATGTAGTTGACGTGTTTCAGATTTTTTTCATAATCCGGTTTTGGCGACCAACAGAGCCTCTGTTTCGTTTTCAATGGGCCACCCTGTATAGTGTAGTGGCAGTGTCCCATTTATAATAAAGAAGTTGATGTGGCAAACAATGATTCATCATTTTCGAATGAAACAAATTATACAACCACCCAATGAATAAAAAAAAACTTAAGGTTCTCAAGCTATTCAACACTTCCTAGGCTTCCGCCTAACCCTGTATAAACCTTGTGGATACGACCAATAGGAACATTTCCACATTACCAATATTACAGGATATGTTTCCACACGCCAGCTCAGGCAGAGCAAGCGACATGATGATATTTTTGAAACATAAAATCATATGAATATGTGTGAAGCTTTTTGTGAAATAATCTCTCAACATAGATGCTCAATTTCACATTCTCAGCGTCAATAATCGAGATTGGTTGATAACAGAATTCCATTACAAATGGCCATTCATTATTATTTTAATTTGATTCACAATCTAAAATGTTTGAATTTTAGATGAGCATAGTCGGATAATGCTGAGGGGCAACACATTTCTCAAAATAAAGAATTTTTTCAAATTACTATGATGTGGTGACCGTGAGCAGAACAATTTTTTCGAAGGGTTTTCATTTTGGCATCTATTCCCAGGTTTTTGCCCCCTCCTGTTGATAGACTAGCCATTAAAACATATTTTTTGCAACGTATTTTCAATGTATGCATCTATCAAGTCATGATTTGTATGGGTTTTCAACATACCCTAGACAATTTGCATTGAAAAATGATGATTTCGGACGATTTGTAAATGCATGCAGATTAGTTTGCTGAATTTTGAAGAAAATTATAGAAGGGAAAAAATTTGCACATGCCGAAATTAACTGAATATATGATAAAGACGGAGGAGGTATTTGTTGAACAGCTATGCTCTTTCGCAGACTTATTTTTGGTATTCCTTGTATCACGATGAACTAATTTGCGTACAATCGTGAGGTGCACATGCGCTGTGGTAATTTTCCAAACATGTTCAACAAATAGGTACCCCCTTCTTTATCACATATTCAGTTGATAATTTCGGGACTTCCCACAAGAGGGCGGGGTATGCAAGTTCATTTTTTTTAAATTTCAACAAAAACCAATTTTCATGCATTCACTAATCATTTGAAATCATAATTTTTCGATAAGAATTCAAATTTGATTGGTGACGCCGCTTCATGCAAACACAATCATTAAATAATTGTCTAGGACATGTTGAAAACCCATGAAAATCATGACTTTGAAGATGCATACATTAAAAAAACGTTGCACAGAATCTGTCAATCACAGCTAGTCTATAATGTGATGAAATTATGATATCTTAAAGTGAAGAAAATCTCTTAGAACGTTATTTCGGCTTTTCATATGGATAGGTAAACTGGGAAGTATCCATTTTTCGGGTGCTTCCAGTAAACGAAGAACTAAGAATAAAAGAGTAAAGCACTATTGACAAAAATTACAAGTTGGATATTCCTACTCGGACATTGGAAAATTTCGAAAGAATATCCGTAATCATTGAATATAGTGAAAATCTTCGCTTAGAAAATGTGTCCACATTGGGGTAGAAACTCATTTTAGTCTGTATTCTACCTGTACTGTTTATCAAAATTATTGAAACTCCACTTAACAATTTCATTTGCCACAGCAAAAAGTTTTAGATGACCTGCTTCAAAGATGGGACTGTAGCCAACAAAAAAAAAACGTTCATCGGAATATCTTCAGGCGCTAGTTACAAAAGATAAAATAATTTGAAATTATTATTGAAATAAACAATATTTTTCCCTGAAGAACATTGTTGCTTTTCAATAGGGCAATTCAATTCATTTTATATTGTGTTTTGTCCTGATGATGTGCTATTACAGGATGAAAACATAGCTTTTATCACAACCTTATGACTTTATTAGTCCACGAGACAGGACCCTTTTTTAAAAATGATTACCACTTCTACCACGTTTGTGGCTTTCTTTGAGAAGGAGTGAGAATCATTTTTGAAAAGTGGTCTCATTGATTTTTTCTTTGGTAAAACGAAAAACAGCAATTGATAATCATTCTGCTGTGAATTATGATGTATTGGCTCGAAAAGTAAATACCTAGAAATGAAAGACATGCATCAATAAGCATTCACCTTGCCTCCCAGTTTTAAACCTCGAATTGAATGGCGCATTTTGAACCGTTATCAACCTTCAGTTTTGTCAAAAATGACGCGGAGAATGCAGTTTTTGGCAGACATATCCTACCATGGACCTAAACCAAAATTGGAGATTCGCTACGAGTTTCGAAAGAGTCGAGGACATGTCTGCCACCAAAAGAAAAATTACAATACGAATCGTTTCCTGATGAAGACATGTTAAGAAATACGTTCATATCCCTAGGGTAGAACTAGACCCTGTGGTACTCCTATTCTAGTCACTGGCTAAATAACTACCGTTACTTCTAGAAATTCCGCGACATCACTAACAATACTAGCCATATATAATACTAGTCCCGGTCCTTGTTCCAGGAACATTCCCGTTGATTTTTGCATGTTTTTTTTCTATACAACATGAGATAAACATTTCTATAAACTTACAAAAAATAACATCGCTGCTTGCCCGTCTCGGGACATAATAACCCTAAAAATTGTTTCTAACAGTATTAAAGCCTGTCAATACTGAACACCAAACACAATGAGATAATTATATAATTATAATAATCGAGAAAATACTTTGCGATTGAGAATACAGAGATTTTGAATTGGTACGTAATACTTAACAACTTAACCTAACTTAAACGATAAAAAAATACAATACTTACTTAGATCATACTGTCTGTCAAAGCTAAATCCTGCCAAATCAACAGTCTACGTAAAGTATAATAAATAAGCGCGCTGTATTACAACTTCATTTAGCTACCATGACACGCCGTGTCTTTGACACAACTCAAAATGGAATGAATACTGTTCTTTTTTGTTTTTTGTTTGTGTTGGATTATCCGACTAATTATATATTTGACTTTGAGAACGAGACTCTCAGATGATTGGATTCCGATAATTGGTAGTTGTGCATTTTTATCAGCGCCACCACTGCTTCTTCCATGCTGGGGAGCTGGATGAGTGCCATCTTTTTGTCTTTCCTGGAAAACAAACGAGGATTCAGGGTTATTTCATATATTATACTGACGAAGTTCTTGAATTCGTGGAATTACTTTCTCTATTTACATCGTGTGATGGACAAAGATGACTATAAAACAATTGAGCCCAGCAACACAAACTGGAACTGGAAAGGACATATCTTTTGATATCCTAAGAAGACTTACTAATTTTTATGTGATTGATGGAAAGTCTTAGTTTCCCTAAAGATCAGACTGTTGAGATTCAGTGGAATGACTTCTGTTGACTAGAAGAATGTGAGGTGTTTGTCTCATTCTAAATTATTTTATGGACAACAGGGCTGCAAGAGGTTTTTGAGTGCTTTTTATTTTGTGTATATTAGCGACGATTATTTCGAATGTACCTACCTAGTTGATTCTTTTTCAAATAGATAGTGTTTGCATCCACACTGATCGCTTTTGGATTACTGTTCACATCAAATCATTCTTTGACATGTTCTAAATGAATTACAAACCCAGTGGTATAAAATTTGCAATAATCTTCCAGGCTGTTTTCGAGATACAGGGTGGTTGTTGAATAAAAATCGAATTTCTCAGAATTTATGAACATTTTCAAGTGCATTACTTCAAAAATTGATATTTGGGTTTTTTGGGATGCGGGCACCATTTCATTGTGGCCATTAGAGGCTATTAGATATAACTTAGTCAGCAAATTAGCAGTGCAAAGATGGATGTTTCAAAATACTTTCTTGGAGTATACTTCTTTTTTTTCACCACCCTGTATCTCGGAAACGTTGGTAGAACTGATGATGATTAAAATTCCCCAAAATTACAGTTTCTACTTTCAAATTAAATCTCATTTGATTTGAGGTTATGTTATGAATGTTATATTATTATTATTTCTGGTGCAAGCGGTGTGTAAGCTCTGTTTTCTGTCATGAAAGAAATCTGTAGAAAGTGTCGCCATCTCGCGGACAACTGAGAACTAATATTATGCCGTTATTGCGGAATCTGCGATCAAGCGTTTCGGGGGAAACAAAATACTGTCTGTGATTACACCATATTCTATCCACCTTGGTTCCAGTGCTGGTACCAACGAGGGATGACAAATAAAACATGAATTGTATTCGCGATAGAAAATAAGCGTACGCCACCTATCGGAGTTCTTGAAAGCTGTCAAAGCGGCATGTTTACTTTGTTTTCATTGGTTCATTGAGAGGAGGACAAGGGCTGCTATCTCCACTTGAAAAATCTCGAGTGATGTTTATTAAAAGAAAAACTTCACAAGTACAAGGACTAGGTGATCAATTGGAACTCAATAAAAAATCCACCATTTGTAAAGGGTTTCCCTGCTGAATCCCCATACATCAAACATTATATACAAGAAGCAAGCTACGTCGATGAAGGAGACCTTATGAATCTACGTTTCAAAAATGTTTACAAGGGAAAAGTACGCAGCCTGCCTATACCCAAAGAGCAAAATAAAAATCCAAACGCAAACTGGAAAAGGTTATGGAAAAATATAAACTCCAAGGAGCTTACACCACAGCAGAGAGATAATAATATGGTACCAAATAGGGAATAATACTTTCCCAGTTCAATCACGAATAGCCCAAACCCAAACAATAGATGCCTGCATTGTTCTTCCCTGGACACCCTTGAACACGTTATATGGGACCATATTCGCCGATGGATTTGCCACTCCACAAAGGTTCCTCAAGTCAATATCAATCATAAAATTCCTCACAACACCAGGATGGCACTTTTATGAACTTCTGCACACGGATGCGATTCACACAATAGGACACCTACTAGTACTAGAAATTAGCCAATAAAGATTTTATCTTAAAAAAAATGGATCACATTTGTTTTTTGTTTGTGCTTATTGGTCACATCATCAAAACAAACCGCTAAGAAGTGTTCAAGTTATTGCCGTCAGGTGGGGCAACGTGTTATTTTCTATCGCAAATATTGTATTGGAAACAAGGTTGTTGGTCGGTCGCGATCGGTACACTTACGGGAAAAATTTGAACGCCTTCACCGTGAACCCGTTCTTGGTGAACGCCTCCTTGATGTCGTCCTCGTTGACAGTGGCCGGGATGTTGCTCAGATGCAGCGTCGACGAGGGCGGATAGATGTTCTGGTAGTTCTTCGAGCCTGGCTTCTTGAACCTGTGCAGCGGACTCTGGCTGTAGTCCTTGGTGAGGCCGGCATCAGGCTGGCCCTCTTTCGGCATCTGCACCGATTGGTGCTTGCTCAGCATCACCCTGATGTTCTTGCCGAACACTTTCAGTTTGTCCATGTGGGTTATTGCTGGAAACGTCGAGATTCATTGTTGAATGATTGTGGCTCAGTGATGAATGTCACATTGTGGGGTGACGCAAGGATCCGGTTTGGGACCAATTATAATTTTCATAAGATGATGAATTTATATTTATTTAATTTTTATCTCTTTGAGCACACCAGAGAAAATTCCTATAACGTTCGAAGAACATCGTGGGTACCTTCTTTTTACCTAGGGACGATAGAGAAATTGTTCTATTTTTTGAACTTTTGGAGGTTATAAGTTCTTGGCAATACTTCCATTGGCAAAGAATTCCAAACTTTCGCCGTTCTATAGACGAACGAGATTTGGTAGAGTGTTGTTCGACATGTTTCAAGGTTGACAACAAACGGATGTGGTATTGCTAGTGATGGAATGATAGCAGATAATTTTGAGGAACTTTTTCCGTGGAAGTATCTCTAGGAAAGTGACTTTTCCACGGTGTTTAGATAATGCCAAAGGATTAGTGAGTGTGGCATCACCCACCAGGCAAATGCCTCTTCTCTGGAATCTAAGAGGACCAGGGTATGTTTGAGAACGGGCCGTATCTGTGCTTTGTAGATCATGAGAAACTGTTGAGGTGTAAAGTAGATTTTCGCATGGAATGAAAATCCGAGTTTTTGTAAAGCAGCTCTCGCGATGGATCTGACATGATTTTCCCATGAAAAAGTATTGTTGCTAGTAATACCGAGCATAGATATAGTGGTCTTGGTGGAAATAGTGAGTTCTGCCTTTGTAGAGAAAATATAGGCTTGAGTTCTTAGTTTTCTGGGGAGAAATGGGAATTCTAGAAGAGAACGCAGTATGGACAGTGCTATCGTCTGCAAAGCTGTGGCAAGTGGTTGCTTCCAACCAAAACATATCATTGATATGAAGTAGGACCAATATTGATGCCAAAATTGATCCTTGTGGAACGCCGGAATTGATGACAATGGTATCAGACCTCCACATGGAGCGATCTGCCTGAAAGAAAACTCGATAAAAGATGGCATATCTGAGTTGGTAAGCCGTATGATGGTAGTTTGTGAAGCAGTCCTTGGTGCCAAACAAGGTTGAATGCCTTCCCGATATATCCAATGCCACAGCTAGAGATTCCTCATGTTTTTCTAATGAAGCATGGGTGACGTCATTAATGATACCTAGCATTCTAATCGCATGTGTCGTTACAACTTCCGTGTTAGTGAAGCACGCGAATGTGAGATCCTTTATTGTCTAAGTTATGAAGAGATTATGGGATGTTCTTCGCTGATAAGCAAAAAGCAAAATATACAAAGAAATTTCTCCAGCATGCAGACGGTTTTTGGATTGTCCTGATTGGTCCGCAGGAACTGCCTATACGTATGTTTGGTCGAAACATATTCGTGCGTTCCAATCCATGTATTGTATGTATCTCAATACACTTCTATGGTGGAAGTGAATTCTTGCTCTCATTGGTTCTTAAAAAATAGGTCACTGTAGGTATTTTTCGGTGTTTTACGTCTTCAAGAGCTAGGGTTTTTGAAGGTGTCGATGTTTATTATTGAAAAAAGTATTTGTGATGATTTTTAATATCTAATGATCATATCAAATAATATTTATACATAGAAAGATTGATATACAAAGGTATGTGACGTGGATTCGACATAAATTATTGAGATTAATTATGAAAGCAAGCACATTCTTAATCATTCATGGATTTGAAAGTCATCATGGCTAGTTTAATACCTATTAGAAGAAAAATAACACTAATGGCAGATCATCTTACCTAAATGAGCCTGATGTGGTTCAGCAAGTTGAACTAGGGCCGAATCTTTCTTGTTATACAAGATTTTCACCCGTTGCACGTCGCCATACACCCCTACGAAGAAGAATAGAGAAAATCAGAATGGGGATGACATTCCTTACAAATTCGAGTAAGATGATTGTTAAAATAAGAGAATAAATCTAGTTTACGAAAAGAAAAGTCGTTCAGAAAAAGATTTCATAATCGTAAAAACAAAAATGAAATTTCAACAACACAAAACATGCAGAACGTTAAGAAAAAAGGCGTTCAAGGTACTACGAAAAACAAGGAGAAAGTAATCAAACAATTCAGAGAATTATAACAAACATCTAGATGAATCTAAGCAGTAAGCTCTGACAAACAAAACAGGAAAATTCAATATGTTCTTTGTTTGCTATAAACAAAATTTAAAAATGAAAAACAACGACTAATATCCAATTCACTTGAGGAAGGTATTAGAAATTAATTTTGAGAATTACAAGCAAATTGGATTCGAAAATCCCTGTTGTTTGATTCCATTTACCTTTACTTGAGAATGAAACAACAGAGGTTTCAAATAACTAAAACTAGGTAGACATATTTTATATAAAAAAAGACACTATATTTCCACAATAGCTTTCGTTTGAGTCAAAACACATTCTACACAGATAATAAGGTAAATATTGGAAATCACATGCATATGTCTACTTAGCTAATATGATATAAATTGAGTGTGAAAACATACCAAATAGTGTAAAGAGAGCGTCAGGCGTGACCATCTACAATAGAAGAAAGATGACAGTAGGATGTAACGTGGCACAAAGAGGTAGCGTATATGCCACCGGAGGGGCAGCAAATGTAAAAAAAGAAAAACAGCATTAGACTTCCATGTACCAAAAAATGTATACACAGTTACAAAAATAGTTACGCTTCGAAAAAAATCTAGTTTATAAGGCTCCAATCCGTCTGTTAATCATATTAGTGTTACAAAATGGGCGAGTGGACTGGTTTTTTCATATTGGACTGTTTACCACATATATTGCTAGCCAAACTACCTATATAACATTCTGAAGGACATATATAGATGTAGAAAAAAAATTGCCGGTATATAGGATTTTCAATGCACTTGAATTATAATTCCCCCATCTATTCGACCAGTAAAAACTATATATTGGATCTTTCTTTTATTTTATTCAGACCAGGGAAGAGTCCCTCTTATCCTGATATCTATTATGGAACAAAATAAAAACGGTATTGAAGTTTGATGCGAACAGCCCTTCTGTCCCAAATAAGTTTCATTCATTCTAAGAATTGAAAGAGATCGAACGGAAAAAATAAATATCAAAAACTTGAGAATAGTAAATTTGGTCATAATGTCGATATTTTCTCTAGTTTATGGACAATCTCGGTCTTTTGAACTTTGATTGATCACCTGGGTCATAATCAACTGCATTTCGAAGAAGCTGATTCTCATGAACCTCAGCTTTTTCGAAAGTCTTGATGTTTCGTTCTTTAATGACTGACACGATTGAAGGGAGTTTCAGATCCCTGGCGATCTGGTTATTCCGAACATACCAAGGAGATCCTGTCACCATTCTCGCGACTTTGTTTTGTAATGTTTGTAATCTGGTGATATGAGATTTAGCTGTGTGGCCCCAGACTACTGAGGTATACAGTAAAATTGGCCTGATAGCCATGATATAAATATTCAATTTTTGTCTCAAACCCAATTTACTTCGCCTGTTTAGAAATGGATACAGGGCTCCAATGGCTCGTTTAGCTTTAGAAACTTGCTGTTCAATGTGCTGGGCCCAGGTGAGCTTTTTGTCAATGCACACACCTAAGTATTTAACTTGTGAAGACCACTCTAACTCATGACCATCCAGGACTATTCTGGTTCTGGGATGCCTCCGCTCCCTTCCAAGTGCGACCAATTGTGTTTTTGTAGGATTCAATTTGATCTTCCATCTTAGGAAGTACTCCTGAAGAGAATTCAGTGCGCTTTGGAGGTTCATAGCTGATGCTTGCTCGAAGTTTGTCGAATATTCAAGAACTGCCGTATCATCAGCAAAAAGCGACATCTTGCACATCGCTGGTCTTGGCAAATCGCTAGTATATAAACTGTACAACAGAGGAGATAAAACTGCACCCTGAGGAACACCAGCTTCAATGGGCTTGATACCAGATCGTTGACCATCAAGTTTTACTTGAAAAGTTCGATTTTTCAGAAATGAACACATCAACTGAATCAAATCGTCAGGAAAGCCCATATCGATCATTTTGTATAAGATACCATCATGCCACACCTTGTCAAATGCTTTCGCTATGTCAAGGAGAGCAGTTGAGTGGCCAGTTCTGAAACCGAACTGCTCATCTGGTATAAGCTCGTTGTCGTCGATAAATTCCTGTAATCTCTGTTTAATCACTCGCTCAGTTATTTTAGATGGAGAGCACAGGAGACTGATAGGACGATGTAAAAACTAGGATCCCTTGATGCAAACTGACGTATTTGTCATCTAACAGGGTACGGACAGATCATAGCTCCTTTCTCTTTTAATCATCTAATGACTTTGGTATCCTGTATTGGCGTCCCTGACATGACATTGCTGTCACGTTATATCCATAGGCGTTAAAAGAGATCTTACAAAATTTCAATTTCATACGATAGTTTCAATCAGTTAGATGGCAAATTTGAATATGTCAGCTTTCCATCGAATGAAATTGAACTCAGAACATGGAAAGTGAAGTGACCGAATGGGGAAAATTGGTAAATACATCAGCAAAATATTCGAGGTAAAACTGATACGAAATCACATATTATACTTTCCTATTGTGCCTATAATTATCCACTCCACAAGTTTTTCAATGCATTTTAGTAGAAACAGTTTTGATTAAAACGAAAGATTGAAAGAAGAGGGATATGCCCTACCATTTAAAAAATTATACCTTCATTCAGGAAATATAAGTGTTAAGTGAAAAACTGCAAAAATGATTCCCAACATGAATGTATACAGCACACGTGGCATATGAGCACATTAGTTTGAATACCCACATGAAATTTTTCACCATTTCTCAACCATAAGGCTTAATCTGAAATCAAAATTCATCTATTGATAGGTACTGCCTAAGAAGAGTCCCATTTGGTAAAACGTAATAAACTTTCAGAAAAATTTGCTGCCTCACAAACATTATGCTGGAGTTGAAAAATCAAAAACTCGAAAATTATCATCATCATTTGGATATAATATGTAGAGTTGAATGAGGAATTACATGTAGAAATCACGTATGATACGCCAATGTCCTCAATATAACCTAAAAAACAACAAATGTCAGAAGTCTAGTGTTTATCCCCAGAAATGAATAAAGATGGAACTATATAACTGTTTCACAAACAATTTAGAGTGAGAGGGGATCTGTCCGTATCCTGTTAAGATGACAAATACGTCAATTTACATCAAGGCACCTTAGTAAAGACTTATTAGATATTTACACTATATCACTGTTCCACATCTTGCTGACTGTTTGCCTAATTTACGTGCAGTGTTGCTGTCTAAACGATTTTGGACAGAAATCTAGGGTTTACAAGGTAGGTTAAGTTATTGAAGTGATAACTTCTATAGGCCCGTTAGGCACTTTCTGGGATGGCAGTAAAACGGCCGGACTCGCGTCACACACGGAAGCTCGCGTACAAGTGTATACCTATACATATAGTGAACATCGAGGCAGTGACAGTGTAGTCGTCAGATCTGACCTGGCATGCATCGAAGTCACGTATAGTCGTCTAATATCGTATTGTGTTCTCGCTCGAATTACGAAAAATTCCTATAGATCATTCAAATCATATAATACACAGATTGAGTAATAAATAATTATGAAAAGATGCAATTTGAAATTTGTCGTTCTTGAAATTTCTACATCATTATTTTTAGTTCTAGTTCATCCTTTTCGCGAATACGTCGAAATATTTCCTAAAATTAATATTACTTCATTCAGATTTTCCCCGTATTGGCCAGAAGATGTTTGAAATACTGACCGGTCATAGGAGTTATCACTTCTGACTGTGGTCCTACGCACAAAAATTTTTTCAAACAAGATTTGCGGCATGACAAAGTAATTTTGTTTTCATAATGTGAAACTGGATGATCGAGAATGGCTCTAAATCATGAAAAAAACTCGCTCACTAGTGACTTATGGTCACTTTTCCTATCCTATGAATCCTATCGACATTTTCACAGCAACTAGCTACACTGTTTATATTTTTAAATTTGAGAAAAAAAATTGACCAATGCATTGCATAGGACAATTTCTCGGGATAATTTAATACCAGTCCATTCGTCTATTTGACAATAATTGTGGTTACATTGTTGGTATGAGTGATGTTCAAGTTTCTGTGGGTCCCATTTAAGTTTCAAGCGAAGAGCCTCATAAAGTCGTACATCAAATGAATATTATCAGTTGAACAAGAGAGATTAAAAAGATTAATAGAGCATGAAAGATCGTTTTATATAATGATTGATTAGATGGTAATTTCTATATACATAATATATTCTACTCGAAAAATATTTAGTCATGTATATAAACGGGGAGTATGTGAATTTTTGTATGTAACCTGAAGAGATCGTGGCTGCTAGTTCTATTCTAAGGTAATATACAGAAGAACTAGAAGGAATAATTTTATCTAACACTAACTCGATAGAATACGAGCAAGAACAAAGTATACAATTTTGAGGTGTACAAATACATCAAATCGATGATGGAAAATCGAAGAAACTCAGTTTGTATTTCCTGTGTCAATCTCTGATTGTGAAGCACTTTTTATCATGTCATATGTCAGGTTAGAGTGTTTCAAAATGTTAATATGAAGACAAAGTTTTATTTTGATCCCAACAATACGTTTTTGAAATATTAAATATTAATGCTAAAAGTTTTTTCTGAGACAGGTCTTGCATGAATCTTAATTTGGCAGTTTCTTATATAAAAAGGTAGTGCCAATTGACAGTCAAAAATGCTTCCATGAATCCAATTACACATGAAATAAGACTTTTTCGGAAGCTTACTCTGTGACTGACTAGAAGAAAACTACGAGATCTCAAGATGGCATGATATAATCAGTCCCTGCTTTTGAGTTGGGTTATGAAAGACGAATCAAAGTCAATGATCCGGTAAGCAACTCCAGAGTTCCCGACCGCGTCTAGATCAAGTAACTCGGGTAAATGAACGCGAAGATTAGGGTCATGTCAATCCCAGTAAGTTCCCGAAAAAGCCGAAACAAACTCCTTTCCTCAATTTCCCCTCAATTATCCGTTACATGAAACTATTGTTTTCAAATGTCTGATGTAATCGCGAAACAATTCGGAAATAGCCAACATCAAAAATCGGGTCCATGATCATTCGTCGAATGGACAAGTCGCCGAATTTTAGGTCGAAACGCCGAAATATAGATCGGTGGACACTTTGTCGAAAGTGGTCATTAGGCCTAAAAATGCCAGTGGACAAGTTTCCGAAAATGGTCATGACGCCAAAACAGCCATTTGGACATTTCGCCGAAAGCGTTCAAAATGTCGAAACAGCTATTTGAACATTTCGCCGAAAGTGGTGAAATTGACAAAAGAACTTTTTGGATTTTTCTCATTTCTCACTTTGTACATGAGAAAAGTACTTGAGAGAACAAGGGAGACTTCTTACTTCTTCTAAACAATCTAACCTAACTGGGCCTCAGTGATGAATCAACGTTTTATCTGAACGGCTTTGTTAATAAACATAATTGTAGATTATGGTACAATGAAAATCCACACATATTTCGACAGGACATACTCAGTTTCCTGAAAAAATCAATGTGTTGGTTGGTATCCTAGGATAGAAGACAATTGTACCTGGATTTATTCTAAAATACAATTGATCCTATCATTACACAATCTTCAGAGAGGCAAATCAATGATCATGAAAATATGTTGCTGGATGAAAATAACCTGTTCTTTCAGCAGGATGGAGCTCCACCACATTTTTTCTAGAAACGTTTCAAAAAGTTCGTAAAGAATTCGAAAATAGGCTGTACTATTGTCTAGAGAATAATGGAGGACATTTTGGGCAATTGCTTCGAATACAACGCTGAAAAATTGCATTTCTTCTTGGACACTATTCGTCAAAATAAATCATTCTAGTTGGTTCTAGTAGGAACTAGTAGGGTATACCATTCTCAGCTGGATGAAGTATCAAAACATTTTGTTCTGATTGTCAGAAAAGATGTCATTGTTTGGCAACATTTCACAAGTACGGTCCTGGATTTTTTAAATTCTGTATACGTTAGTCTATTGGTGTTGGAGTGCATACTGTTCCATGAAAAATTGAAATGAATCAAAGAAGCTGTTGAAAAGTTGTGATAAAAATATTTTCTCGCTGAATCCTATAAATCACCCTGTTTATTATTGTAAAAGAGGAGGAAAAACTCCAGATGGCCATTCGATATTCCCCTCAGAGGCCTCTGTTCGTGGTAGGAGTTTGTACAGTACCTCATGACTCACCCTGTATACGGAATAAATATTTTTTCACCTGGTTGATTTGATCATTGATAGACCTTCAATTTTATGTATCTCAAAGTTGGGGGTGCCATTTGAAATTTCAAAGTAAGGGTGTCTGAGGGTGAAGAGGATGAACATAGCATTCAATTGATACTGTTATTTTACTTCCCCCTCGATATCTAAATCGACCTGTTTTTTTCCGAAAATTGTAATCTTCGCAGATCAGAAGATATGCAGGGTGGTAAGTTTTGAAATGAAAGCCCTGTAGAATCTTCAACCAAATGGGCCTGTACACCTTGGTAGAACTTTCAACTCAAACCATGTTCATAATGATCCTTTCATACAAAAATAATGATTGACGACATAATTCGATCGAAAAATTTACTGGAATGTTCAATTTTTGGACATAAATAATAGTACCATCTGAAAACGGACCCTCTTATGACGTAGAAACCTCATCTTGCCAAAGTTGAAAGAAAAAATACCAAACGCCGGACGGAGACTGAGGCAACTGATATATTAATTCTTTCAACTGTGATCTCGCGCTAATTCACTCTGTCAGAAATCATGTATCATTCATCTCTGACTGGAATAGTCTTGTTTCAGTATTAGGGTTTTGACGTCACATCATCTCCTCGTTTTCAGAGGTCCGAAAAATCGGGGATTTCAATAATTTTTTATAAAACGTAGGAGCTCACAGCGATAAACGGTTTGCTGTGGTGAGCTAGTTTGGGTGAGTTCTATCGAATTATGGAATAAAATTTTTTTGTGATATAAGCCCATTGAATCTGCATAAAAACTACCTACCTATTATATTTTCACACCTTAGCGAAGACTGGCACTTCGATAATCATTTGGTTCTTAGTTTTTTAGAGAAGTAAGAAAATTATTGTGAAAATACCTAATAAGAAAGAAACATGAGAAATAAAAAAAATAGTAATATTATAACTGTTCTCTGGTCTCACAATTGAAATACATTTATTATTCCTAATATATTGAGAAAAAAATCGATAGTTAACGATATATCGATAGTTATCGATAAATCGATAGTTATCAATAAATTGATAATTACCGATATATCGATATTCATCAATATATCGATATTTTTTCTCAGACCTAATCATGAACACTTTCGGCAACATGTCCACTGGCGTTTTCCAGCAAAGTGTCCATTCAGCTACTGTCCCTTCGACAAACTGCCCGGATCCCCCCAAAAAAAAAATCACCCCCTTCACATCCCACCCCCGCCCGAATACTAACCTCCTCGTTGAGATTGCTGACCAGCAACACGGTGGCCATTGCCATGCCGGGGGCGGTCAAACCGCGCAGGCCGCCCGCCGTCTGCCCGCCCAGCGCGGCAAAGTTGGCGAGGCCGGGCAGCCCGGCGGCGATGCCGCCCCCGTACTGGGCGGCCAGGGGGGAGCCGAGGCCGTGCACGAAGGGGTTGCTGAGGACGCCGGGGGCGCCGGAGAGCAGCGAGTCTGGAAAGATGTGGTCGTAAACTTGAAAGAAGATTAGTCGGTTAATAATTATGAATAACAATACGAATATACATAATGATATCATGTTTTTCTATTTTGCGTCTCTGATGAGACATATAGATGCATATCGAAACAGCTTATGTCGAGGGGTGAACCGCGGTGGAATTCTGGTGTAAAAACAACTGGAATTCTTTGGATTTCCTTGGTATTCCTTGGAACTCCTTAGATTTCCTTGGAATTCCCTGGAATTTCCTGGATTTCCCTGGAATTCCTTAGATTTCCTTGGAATTCCTTAGATTTCCTTGGAATTCCTTGGATTTCTCTGGAATTCCCTGGATTTCCCTGGAATTCCTTAGATCTCCTTGAAATTCCTTAGATCTCCTTGAAATTCCTTGGAACTCCTTGGATTTCCTTGGAATTCCCTGGAATTCCCCGGATTTCCCTGGAATTCCTTAGATTTCCTTGGAATTCCTTGGATTTCTCTGGAATTCCCTGGATTTCCCTGGAATTCCTTAGATCTCCTTGGAATTCTTTGGATTTTCTTGGTATTCTTTGAGTGAAGTGCGGTATAATTCTGGTGTACAAACAACTGGAATTCCTTGGATTTCCTTGGAATCCCTTGGAATGCCTTGGATTTCCTTGGAATTCCTTGGATTCCCTTGGAATTTCTTGGATTCCCTAGAATTTCCTTGGAATTCCTTGGATTTTCTTGGAATTCCTTGGAATTCCTTGGATTTCCTTGGAATTTTTTGGATGTATGATAAATTGACATTCATTATACAGGACGTGGAAAGAAATTCTGAATTGAGAAAAACCTAATCACGAATCTGAAATTGAGGTCTATAAAAATAACAAGTTTCCATCGTTCGAGTTGAACCCCTTGATAGAGGCAATTCATGGACAGATGATTTTGGAATATATTGAAATATAATAAATGTTTGGGGATCTTTTTATAAAAATAATTTTAATAAAATATCAACATTATATAGGAAATCATCAAAAGTACTGTATCGTCTTCCATATGATACACCAACAACTGAACTGTATGCCTTGACAAAAACATAATCTTTAGAACTATACAGATTAGAGACTCTGAAAATTTCATATATCATAAATAAAAAATTGAATTCTAATTTTATTTTGACTAGAAATTTTGAAATTCATAGTCACCAAACTAGACAATATAACTTATTTCACCTTGATGCTGCTAGTTCTACACTCGGACAAAAAAGATCCACTCATTCATTCATGTTCACTTCTACTCATTCATGTTCACTTCTACTCATGTTTGTGAAGTAGTTCATAGATATTTATTACTTATCATTTTATAATTATCTTCTCCTCATGCCAGAACTTGTTCTGATTGGAAGAAATGTTTGATAAATAAATAAAAAATAAACATAATATGAATAGTAAAACATTAATTTCTGCATTTGTTATATATTGGTCGTTGAAAAAAATTAAATGCAACGATCATGCAATGGCAATTAATACATGATGGTCCCTGGGTAATAATTTCATTCTTTACTAGATTGGTGTATGAAAACTATTGTCCTAATCCGAGTAAAAAGTCCAAAATCACCCTACCTGCTAGCCTTTCCCGCGCCAACCTGGGCTGCGTCGCCAACAGCAAAATATCCGCCCCCAAACTGCCGCCCAACGCCATCTGATCGCCGCCGCCGCCGCCGCCACCCTCGCCGTTCGGCAGATTCGGGTTCGTGTAGTCGCGCGACTTGTCGTTGTTGTACTTGACGTTCAGCGACGCCATCTTGGAGTAGTCGATGCGCAGCGTGCAGCAGCTGTTGTAGATGTTCTGGCCGTCCAAGGCGGCCTTGGCCTGCTGCGCTGATTGCGTGTCGGGGTATTGGATGAGGGCTTGGAATGAGTCTGGAATCGATTAAATTATTGTTAGCGGGGAAAGATTGGGCAAGGCGGCAACCCTGTAACTGGCGACAGTGGACTGAGCTAGGGTCCCTTGATGCAAACTGACGTGTTTGTCATCTAACAGGGTACGGACAGATCATAGCTCCTTTCTCTTTTAATCATCTAGTGACTTTGGTTTCGTGTATTGGCGTCCCTGACATGACATTGCTGTCACGTCACATTCATAGGCGTTAAAAGAGATCTTACAGAATTTCAATTTCATACTTGATCTTGATACATTATTCAATTCTGTTTTGGAAGGATGGTAAAATGTGCTGCGTTAGGCTGTATCAATCAGTTGGATGGCAAATTTGAATTTGTCAGCTCTCCATCGAATGCAAATGAACTTAGAGCATGGAATGTGAAGTGACCGAATGGGAAAAATTGGTAAATACATCAGCAAAATATTCGAGGTAAAACTGATACGAAATCACATATTATACTTTCTCATTGTGCCTATAATTATCCACTCCACAAGTTTTTGAATGAAACACTTTTTATTAAAACGGAGGATTAAAAGAAAAGGCATATGCCCTACCGTTTAAAAAATTATACCTACACACAAAAAAAGAATCTCTTGTATTGAGCATGACTTCATTGGTCCAAGAAAATAATTTGTTTGTATATAACGAAAGAGATGATATTCTTGTTCCGAAACAATGATTTATTCAACAACTCTCTTGTAGGAAAATCAAGATATGCATGGTTGGAGACGTTTGTTATGTTGAAGTGAGAATTGAAATAATTCATATTGACAAAATCATTTACTTATTTCAGGAAAACCATAATTTTGAGATATGGAATCCATCCACCAAATGAAAAAAATCATTTTCTCAATTTGCAACTATGGATTACTATTATTGAGAATTGTTGTATTTCATTTCAAAATGAACGATTTATTTAAGTCAAAATTCCGTAAATCTTCAATGAACACATTGATATTTTCGATCCAAATTTATAAGTTTTTTATAATGAATATTGAGCTCATTCTCTCCAATGGAACTATTTTCTTGTATCAAAATATTGATTGCTTGAATGAAAATATAATAATGTTTTTGATTTGAAACTGTGAATGATTCCCAATGAGATAACTAAACTCCACAGAATATTCGTGAAGAAATATATATTTGTTCCTTCAGTTGACAATAATCCCATGTATAGGTATGTACATCTTGGATCAGTATTGTCCATCAAGACCCCAAATGGTTATAGAATAATCACATGCCTTGATTTCGTCTTCTTGAAGTTTCGCTGGAAATGATAACGGTTACAAACAATGACATAAGTATTATGATTGATTGAAAACTCACCTCTATAATATGTAATATCGTGACTCCAGTATAATATCATTCATGCCTTCTGGAAGATATCGGGTATATAGATTCGAGATACTCGGCAGGAAACTTTCTCTCACCTATTGTCAAGGTCTTCTCAAGTCTTTGCAAGTTATTTGTAGATAATACTTCTTCATTCATCAACCACTCGTCATTTTGCTACAAAAAAAATTTCGAATGAATTAATAAGCATATTTTCATAGCAGGATACTACTAAATCCCTGTTATTTTGATTGAAAAATTGTTGATTCACTCACAATGACTATATCGATATTTGGAAAGGTTCCTACTTACCAAGGGAATTCAATGTTATACCTTCACCAGCTCTCTATAAGTTCTGCATTTGTTAGATATTTATATTCTAAGACATTTCCACCTATTCACACTCGATAAAACATTCAGAATCTTCAAACTTCGCAGCTTAATGCCGTTTCGCCGTTGTGGGTCTGTCATAATGATGTGAGCATGGTAATAATGATTGAAGACTGAGGCCTGAGTGTTGGCAACAGGATTGCTTACCCTTGATTTCCGAGGGCATATTATTTTCTTCCAAAGAAATACCTATTCATAGACTTGAATCAAGTAAATAAAGTATTGAATCAGAATGTGGCTTCTTCAATTAGAGAAATTATTAATATCATCAAGTTCATCAAGTTGAAGATATTATATTCCTTTCATTTGAGAAAATTGATATTCATATCTTTGAATCAAGTAAATATGGCATAGAAGAAAACTATCAGGAGTCTTCGATTTGATGAAATTATAATACCAATATGACGAAATTAAAATGCTTCATTTGAGGAAATAATTATTTATATTCTTGTTTCAACAAAATGGCGTATTGCCTCAACATATTAGGTTTTTGCAATTCAACAAAACTGAATATGTCATTCGATGAAATGGACATTCTTTGATTTGAAGAAATGTATACTTATATTCTTGGATCAAGCAATAAATTTATTGAAACAAAATAGTACGCTTCTGCGAATTGAAAAATCGTTTTGATTGAGTTGAAGTAATTAATTTAGTAATTCAATAATTACATTCTTGGTTTGAGAATATATTTCAATAATATGACACTATTTTCTTGAACACACCAGATTTCTCGACTCAAAAGAATATGCTCAATTCAAAGAAGATATACAATTGAATTTTCAAGAGAATGAGTTTTCTCATTCGAAGACATTTTTTTTCTGTGTGTATACACTCAGGAAATATTATGTGTTCGTGAAAAACTGCAAAAATGATTCCCAACATGAATATATACAGCACACATGACATATGAGCACATTAGTTTAAATACATACATACAATTTTTCACCATTTCTCAATCATAAGGCTTAGTCTGAAATCAAAATTCATCTATTGATAGGTACTGCCTAAGAAGAGTCCCATTTGGTAAAACGTAATAAACTTTCAGAAAAATTTGCTGCCTCACAAAGATTATGCTGGAGTTGAAAAATCAAAAACTCGAAAATTATCATCATCATTTGGATATAATATGTAGAGTTGAATGAGAAATGACATGTGGAAATTACGTATGATACGCCAATGTCCTCAATATAACCTAAAAAACAACATATGTCAGAAGTCTACTGTTTATCCCCAAAAATGAATAACCATGGAACTATATAGGTCGCGTGCAAGAACTGTCAGATGACCGACCCTGGAGGCAAAACATATTTGTATAAGTGATCGAAATAGTTTTCCACAATTATTTTGGCATATGAATCGTATTTTTCCGCTATTCATCAATTCGCTCATGCCATCACATTGTGCTGCTGTAAAATGCACAAAAACTGCAGCGGAAGATGAAGAAATCCGGATGTTACATTATGATTCAAAAGTAAGTACCTACTATAGTCACTCCCATAGTTTTCATTTTTGAAATTTGGTTATTTCTCTGATTTCTCATCGTAGTTCCTTCTGCAATACAGCTGATAGAGATATACCTGAAATTTCTAAAATAATGCAAGAAGATTGGATTCATGCAATCAATCGGGAGGACTGGTCTGACATGCTGACGATCGTGTGCGTTGTAGACATTTTCAATCTATTAGCAGTATTAGCTTGTATTGCAGAAGTGACAGAAGGCAGAAGGAATTTTAATAAGGAATGACAACATTTCATAATATAACTATGTGAGATTACTATTTACTGGAAAAATCATATTTCCTAGTCTCTTGCTGCATTTTTTGTGCATTGTACAACAGCACAATGCGAAGGCATGCTTGAATTAATGAATAACGCAAGAAACACGATTCGTATGCCAAAATATTGTGAAAAACTATTTCAACCTTTTGATTCCTCTGTAACCAAATAAAAAAGTGAGGTTGTGTTTCAATAATTCACAGAAGAATGAGGTTGTGTTTCAATAATTCACAGAAGAATGAGGTTGTGTTTCAATATTTTGCCTCCAGGGCATATACGTATTAATAAACAATACGGATCATAACGGGTGCCAGGATGAAGCCAAAAATATGAAACAAATGAATATCCATAAGGATTTGGTGGCATGATACGCATGCGCCATGCGCTATTATAGTAGTCATCAACGACATGCGTTTCGGTGGACAATGACGTTTACTAGCCTTTCAATCAAAGCAGTATGTGTCTGATCGTTTCAAAACTTTTCCTTATGGATAGTCATTTGTCTCCAAAAATCGGCTTCAATGTTTCGCTATGGAAACAGATAGAGATTATCCGTATTGATTATTAATACGTATATGCTCCAGGGTCGGTCTTCGTGCACGCGACCTATAGCTGTTTCACAAACACTTCAGAGTGAGAGGAGACGAGGATCTATCCCTACCCTGTTAAGATGACAAATACGTCAATTTACATCAAGGAACCCTAGACTGAGCGAGACGTGACGGCGCAGGTGCGAACACTGCGAACGTCGGTATCTCGGAAATTAATCTACCAGAGCTTTGACGAGAGCCTAAAGTTTTCGAACCATTCTCAAACATCATTGCCAGATTGATCACAGTGAATCAAGTGATTCAATATGGACGCATGCGCATTCGCTCGTAGAAAAACTTAGAATTATTAACAACAGCCTCAGGGTCTCCAGAGGAAGAAAAAACATCCTTGAAAGCCTAAATCACTACACAAATGATAACAGTGGGCTGACGCCTCGGCTGACGCCTCGGCTGACGCCAAGCTATTAGTGGACCAGAATAAAACTCTCTGACCGAACTTAGCCTCCACAATTTTATTGCGAAAAATAATCATTAAAAACACGAATCTCAACATATCACGTGATGGGAATGGTTCGAAAGATTCAGGCATGGAAACTTGAATCAAACATTCAATGAACTTTCCATTAGTTACTGGAAGAGGGCGTATCGCTTATTTTGAATCGCCACAGTGATATTTTGTAGAATTGGGATTGTACTTACTATTTTTTGTGAACGTCACAATCTTCAGTACTTTTCCAAATCGTTGGAATATCTGTGGATAAAAAAATATATTGTAAATTAGTATGTTCTAATACTTGAACCTGAGTGAAAAAAATCGGCTTCGCTAGACGCTCCGCCTCGCAAATGCAAAATTCGCTTGTCAAACAAAGTGTCACTTTTGATCCTGATAAAACAAGCTACTATTTTATGCGAAATTTGTTTGCACAACGATGTTCAAAAGGAGATAACATGTCATTAAAAACAAGGGTAATTTTGCACTTATCATGCGATGTTTTTTTTTTTCGAAAATTTTTTTTGGTACTTACGTATTTTTGTCTGAAAAACACGAATTTGATATTGAAAATGTGAACAAACCACTATTTATCGAGATATTTCAAGAAAAATTTCGAAATTTTGCCTTATTTTCCCCCTTGAGTTGGATGCATTTTCAGGTACTTGCTCTTTTTATTTTGTCATTGGACACTTCATATACTCATGATGTACTTCAATGACACATTTTAAGCTAGAAAATTCAACAGGAAATATGATTTTTATTGGGAGTTTTTCCTATTTAGTGAGCAAGCATACCAGATGACCGCCATTTAATCGATGGGTAATCCAAATAGGAGATGTCAAATGTCAATAGATTGCTTTGGAATGACATCACACACGCCATTATTTCAAATGATATTCTTCCTTCTTTTCACTAAACATGGATAAATCACAAGAAAATCATATTTCTAGTTGACTTGATAATAAAAAAAAATGCGTCCAACATTGTGTGATATATATAAATTGTCCAATGATGGAAAAAGAAGGGCAAATTGTTCTAAATGCGCCCCAAAGACAGGCGGAAAAGAAGGTGAAATTTGTAACTTTATTTTTTTTTTATATCGATTGGAGCGCACGAAAGGGAATCAGATAAAAATACGTTAGTACCAAAAAAATTTTCGAAAAAAAAACTCATCGCATGATAAGTGCAAAATTATCAAAACAAGAAACGTCCAACTAGTTTTGACGAAGATGTATCTGCGCGTTAATTTCATTAATAAATTTGATTGAACTTGTTAATACAAAGTGTACGGAAAATGATGATTCCACTCACCAAATGTAAAATATCTAAACTGATGGGATAAATCATGTGCTCGACGATGACCCTGAGCACGGTGTTGGGCCCGCCCTGTATGTCCGCCGGCGGCTGCTGCTGGCCGTTGGTGAGCGCCACCGAGGCCGGATTGAGGACGAGGCCGCCGGCGGTGCCGTTGGTGGTGGGGCTGGCCGAGTTGGTGGTCAGCGCCTGCGCAGCTTGCAAGGCCGCCTGCGCGCACGCGTTCTGGAATGGATAGAGGTCAGTTCGATTTTTACGAAATTGTCCGACGCAAGCGCAGAGTTGCCGTTTTTAGTACTATTGTACTGTTCTACCACAGAATACCCAAATATTCTGTGGTTCTACACCTTTTTCAATTGTAATTCAGAAAGAGTAAATTGTAATTCAGATTAGCTAATTGAAATTCAGAAAATATCAATTGCAATTCAGATTAGTCAAGTGAAATTCAGAAAACTTCAGTTGTAAATCAGATTTTTCAATTGGAATTCAGAAAGCGTCAATTGAAATTCGGATATCATCATTTGTAATTCAGAATGCATCAATTGTTATTCAGACTACGTTATTTGTAATTCAGATAAGTTGCATGATATTCAGAAAATATCAATTGTAATTCGGATTAGACAGGTGAAATTCAGAAAACTCCAATTGTAATTCAGATTAGTCAAATGAAAATAAGAAAGCATCCATTGAAATTCAGATATCATCAATTGTAATTGAGAATGTGTCAATTGTAATTCAGACTGATGGATTCATGAAGGTATTCATGTAGAACCAGCGACTCCAGAATTATGGAATATTTTGATTGATGGTCAATTGAAATCAATTTTCATAGGTAAAAATGGGACAGTTATAATAGAAAACGTAATTTCCGGATAAAATATTGCACTGTTCCATATTTATGAATTACAAATAAAGCTTTCTGAATTTCAATGGACTATTTTTGAATATCAATGATTGGCCAATATTCGCGACATTCTACACTAAAACTTGAATTCCCGAATTTTGTTTTTAGGCTCATGGGATTTCTTGCCTTTACGTGTAGGCATGAATACTTCCTATACTTTCAAGATGTTCATCTGGAGACTCATTTCTGTGGATGAAACGGCCAGGTTAGCAGAAATGCTTTCAACGGAATTGACTGAGCACCAGATTCGAGTACCTAATATTTCATTTTCCACACACAAAGTCCAATGAAACAAATCGACGCCATAGGCGCCGGTTAGACGTATTGAAGTATTATCTAGACCTCTTTTCAAATATCATCTTCTATTTCGATGTATGCTGAATGTGATATTATTACAGGGAAGTATGAAATGAATGTCTAAAGATTCTTGGGCTGTTGTTAGGAACAACAGAATAGAGTTAGTTGAATAAAAACGGTCAAGCTCGAAATAAAATAGATGTTTATTATACAAGGCAAAAAAGTAGCAGATTTTAGCTCCAGGTTGTGTTGTCTCCATACGCCTAGCGGAGGGAGACAAAAAACCGTGTTTTCCTTTTCTGTGACAGAAAGAAGGACGAATCAATATTGAGAAGATATTACATTATATTGAAATCAGAGAATTATCAACGTGAAATTTCAAGATTTTGACAGTAATGACACCTGCGTTGCATGCATCTTTATCATTCTTTTGAAATATCGGTCAGTCTAATTCTGAGATTTGATTATCAAAAATTGCGAATTTCGTGGTCGTTTAGTAATTTACGTAACCGCGAATTCTGAGACGGTGTTATAGGCTTAGTTTTCGGAACTATAGCACAACAAGAGACATCAACAGTTTATATATATGGGAAAAAGTAATTCATGGAAAGTGACATTTAATAACCTGTCAACAGAGATGAAATTTCAAACTTTTTGCCCGTCACAGAGAAAACCTTATTTGAATATTACCTCTCGTGAACCAGTCAAGAGAAACTTAATGAATTAATATGGGGAAAAACCTATGTCAAGACATGGTAACTTCTTACCTATTCATAACCTAGTGGAGCTTCATCACTCTATATCGTGATATGGTGGAGGATGCGCCTATTATAATATGATATATCCTATCTGAGCTACCTACAAAATATGATCCATTTGTCTTATTCCTTGTCGTGATTAGTCTTCATTGAGGTATTCATTAGTCATTTTTCCTCGAACATTACCAGACAAACCAGGTTAACTTTATTATGACGTCACGGTACACTTGTGAAGCTTGAAAGATGTCAGTTTATCGTCTGTTTTTGTTTGGTTTTAGTAGTAACAGTAATATTGAATGGGAAATTTATCATCTGTAACAAAAATATATCATAGATAGGAACTAGGTACCTACTAACCTACTTCTAATTCAAGAAAAATTTAACAATTCGCTACGTACATATTTACAATGAATCAAATGTTTATTTGCATCAATAATATTATGAGATCTCTCATTGGAGAATACTTCGTATGTATCCATAATTATTTCTGTAAGAAGAATAGTTATTTTTTCTTATCAAATACCAAAACCTGATACACCCAAAAACAAAAACCAAATGACAGGGATTGAATGTCAACAATAATTATCAGATGTCAGTTTCGTTATAATTTTAGTTACATTGAAGAGAGGAAAATTATGTATATCATGAAGAATAGCTGAAAGATAACTGGACTTCAGGTTACTGATGAGGAGGGTTTGAAATCCGAAATGAGTTGATTCGAATTAAGTCACATATAACCTGTTTGTGAGAGATATAATTCCCATATCACTGATACGAGTGATTTTTTTGGAAGTTTCGAGCTCATCAAGATCAGAGTTCATACAAGTATACTCCTCCTATACATTTAAATTTTCATTTCAATACTGAACATATTGGTATATAAGTTAAATTTTTATTTATCATATTTGAGATATTGTCAATTCTCAATTCCAAAGGATTTTAATTTTTTATGCTCTCTTTTTGAATGTTCAACAGATATAATTCAATGTTAGTCGTGGCATATAGCCAGGAAAGTAGTTTTCTGTTGAATAAACCGAGAAAGAATTGATATATTCATCACATAGACTGACATAGAGAATGCGAATTCTCAATGTATTTCTCAATTCAGAATTTATTTCCACGTCCTGTATGATGAATATCGATTTGTCATACATCCAAAAATTAAAATCTCAGATTATAACATCAACAATAGCCCTCTAAGAGCCCAATCCAGTGCCCAATCAGAAGCCTAACTACTCCGCGAACTACCTCAGTGAGCTAGTTTGTGTACTTGGTTAACTATGACGTCATAGTCTGGAATACACTTCGAGGAAAATTCACTGGTTAACTTATTGTTGACTCGGTCTGCGTGGTTAACTTCGAGGAAAAATGGCTCTTATTTCATTTCAATATATTCTGTTCCCCATGGGATTTTGAAGTTGCGGGAGATGCGCCGCCTATGATCGTCACTATATCTGCGCTGTGTAAGTAATTAACGGGCGATTCAGGATTCAGAGCTGAATAAAATATTCCATTTCATCAGGGCATTATACAATTCGTAGCATTTAGCCTAACTATACGGGAACAACGTTCATGAAACTAGAAACGAGTAATTAGATGTAGCGCCAACGACAGGGTTGAAAGCCATTAGCGATGGGAATTTTCTGGAAATAATTTATATTTTCATGAGAAATGTTCAAAATTACATTCGATGAAATATCAATATCACCGACTAAATATATACTAATACAAAATACTCATTCTGAGATCAAATATCTTGTTTGACAGAATATCCTGAAATTATTGACAACACTGGGTAGCCATACACCAACAAAATATCCATGGAAATGAGCGTTCAATATATCTTCTGATTATCTTCGTAAAATTGATAGGTTGATTACCTAAACCTACAGTCGGGAGGAACTCACCAAACTCCGGGTGTGTATTGTATAGGTATAAATTTGAAAAAAAAACATATGTTTGACTGATACGAATGATTTTTTTGGAAGTTTCGAGTACATAAATGAATATGAAAGTAGAAATTCTCTTTTTTTTTCTATATTTTCGAAAGTGCTTCCATCTTCCATCAACTCCTTGTTTATAGTTTATATTCATGATAAAGCATTCCTTAGCTGATTGAAGAGTTACAACAGTTGATTCCTCGTTGATTTAACAAAGAGAATCATGCAACCAGAGATTAAATACACTGATGCAACCGACCCTAATGATTTTTGAAAAGACCATAGTTTTCAAGGATATCCGGTCGAATGTTCAAGTAGTATTAACATACTTTTTTCATTGTACGATTTAGTAACGAAAAAAATTAGCACTCATTCAGACAAGCTTCCAATGGCAGGTACTTCAAATCAAACTCTAATTTGGTTTTTGACAACTAAACAAATAAATTGGGAGTAAGTCTGTAATTTTGCTCTCCCTTGGTACTTTGATGTCTGCGTTGAAAAGAAAAAAAAATAATTTCGCCCTTCCGACATTTTTAATGGCGGGTGAAAAAGGTGAAGCCGAAGCCGAACAGTAATTAAAGCCTTTCACGTTAGCAAATAATGCCTTCCTTTGGAAAAAATGCAATTTGGACACAATATGTACTCAATTAAGGATTCGAATTAAATGATTAAATATTAAATCGAGAGAAAAGATGGCTTTGCCTAATACGGTAGAAACGTTTGCGAGAAATATTCTAGCAATTAACGAATTAAGAGTTCGTCCCGAACATGAATCGAATCGGATATTTTATAGACTTCGATTTGAAGAATCTCGTTAAAAATTCTATGTGGACCTAGTTGGGTATGAAGTGTGCTTTCAATTGAAAAATTCATTAACTGAAGAATCCTCAATTAAATGTTTGATAGAGATATTTTCATCAAGACAAAATCAATTTATGGCGAGCTGAAACCTTCATAAAATGAAATACAATCATATGCCATTATATTAGCTAATGGGACTCAAAAGAAAACTCTTATTTTGAGAAATCTTTCGGAATTATTTATTCCTTCCTCAGTCTCTAGTAGATGAGATTGTAGAAAATATTACAAATCAGAACTGTATTAACATGTATAAAATTCATAAAATGATGGATATTGTCAAGAAGTACAAATGCCAAACTCTCGTTCATTTCAAGATCTTTTACAAATCAAAACATCCAGTACATTGTAGTTTCGATCAGGTCAGTGGATTTCATAGACGTCAGTTCCTTTAAAATTCGCAAAAAAACGCTTACCGTGCGATAATACGTAAGCAATATCGAAAGGTAACGGCCATTCCCATTGCGG